CTTTCCAGTGATTCTTCCCGGACTACCACTGCAAAGGTTTAGACAACCACCTTCCGATCCAAGCATGGAAAACAACGGGTCTACCAGATCGAACCAGAATAGAATCATTGCTGCCAATCATTCCCTACAACCTATGCTGCATGAACAAAATCATCCCATAATTTTAGAATCCATGAATATCATAATGGCTGCCAATCATTCCCTATAACCTTCTATGCTGCATGGGAAAAGCATCCCATAAATTTGATTTGAATGATCTTTCTCCGAAGCAGCCCATGGTAGACTGCAACCATGGGTACAACTGGGGTAACCAGGGGTTAGTCCCTTATCACCATGCTTATAACCCATTAAGTTGGCGTTTTCATACCCAACTCCCCTGCGGATTGGAAGGAACCCAAGACCCCCCACTCCTCCAAACAGGGATGGGTGTTCATGGGGCGTCCATAAAAAGTTCCGACTTCCGGCGACTACACAAAAACGGCAAGACCGTCGTCAGGAGGGCCGGGTGAACCAGAGACAAGAGAAGCTTCGGGTGGGCACGGATTCGTCCCAATGTCAGGCGGGGAATTTCGGGAGTCCGGGATTTCCGTTTCCGCCAGAAGCGGCGAATGCGGGGTTGCAGCGGTGGATTTTGTTTTGCTTCCCCTTTTTTTTGTGTCCCCTGTTTGTTGGCTTTACAGGGAATCGACTTCAGTGCTCTAAATGGGCCTGTAATGTTTTTGATGTTACCTTTTTTTTTTTCCGGTGGTTTTACAGGGAAAACAAAAGGAAGGCCACCATTTGCAGGTCCCCCCCAAAAAAGAGACACCCAAATATGTTGGTCGAGTCCAGTAGTTTGGTCAGTGGAGAACACTTGTCTGTTTTTCTTGGTTTCATATGCGTTTCAGGCTATGTGTTGTTTGCCCCTGGTGATTTGAAGAGGAATATGCGTTCCCTTACTATTTGCCCCTTTGGTGTGTTTTCCTTGCTTCCATTTATATGCGTTTCAGAATATGCGTCTTTGTAAACATGGTGGTTTTAAGAGGAATCTATCTACTTTGAATATTCTATGATCTCCAGGCTAGAAGGAGGTTGCATTTCGATCAAGAGGCTTTCAGTGTCCTTCTGGCTTTCATTCAGGTGCCAAGCTGGGGTTATCCGGCATGTTTTTCTTGAAAGGTGGTTTTTCCGTGCAACACAAAACACTTTTGCACATGTTGGTTGTTGTGCTATGCAAAAAACAACAGGTGTCCACATCCCCTGGTTTTTTGTTGTTTAGAAAAGCAGATGTCCACAACAAACACAGGTTGATGTTAAAGGGAACTCAGTAGGAAACCACGCACTTTGGGGGGTCCGCCATTTTGAGACAAGCCCAGATTGTCCACCTCCTCCCTCCTGTTTTTCAGTTGTTTGAAAGAACAAGAAGGCATTGCGAGTTCAACAAGCGCTGGAACGGAGCTTCAACCGGATGGTCCAAGAGCGAAGTGCAAAAGCAGCCCTCTGAACCTCAAGCCCCGATGTTTCCATTCGCTGAATATGTTCCTTCGAAAGGGAATCAGTCTTCACTTGGCTGTGGCTCAAAAAACCGGAATTCCAAAATGGGTTGCCCGATCGGTAAGTGGAAACATGGACCAAAACCTGCAGTCTGCCCCTCCTTTTTGAATTTGGAGCCACGTTCAGGGGACGTCGCAAATAAGCAGTTTCTCTCAGCTCTTGCCGACTGATTGAAATGGGCTTTGAACGGGAGGCCAGCCATCCCAACGGCGACCTTACTCGAGGCAGTTTTTGGGAACCATTGGCGACCTCAGGTGTTGCCATTTTGAGGTACCTGAACCCTCAAACTTCCCTTAAAAATGGGTTTGACCCCCAAAATTATGGGGTGATATCCCATTTTTATGGGTAGTTTGAGGGTCCAGGTACCAAGATTAGGGCGCGTTTTAGGTTTTCGCCATAGTGACAAACAGTTTAGGGCCAATCCACCGCGATCGGAAGTGAGTATTTGACCCTACTTGTTGACCCCTTACCTTCCAGCAAATGGAAGGTGTTTGAAGTTCCAACAGTTCCACCATCTTTCTGGATGTTCCTTGTGGATCGTCTTGTTCCAGCCACCCTTTGATCCTTGCGACACAGCATGAACCCCCCTCAGTGGGCCACAGTTGGCCTATCCCCGCAACCCTTCAGCCATTTGATTATGAACCAAGACTGAGCGCGTTCGCTGTGGTGTTGCTTCAAGCGAGCTTTGGATTCAGAGGCGGTTCTTTTTTTCTTCTTCAGGAAACCATCATACTATTCGGGACCAATGTCAAAATATGTGGTACAGAATGGCGAGCGTCCTCTTGTTTTTTTTTTTTTTTTTTTTTCCGCAGCCAACCTAAATTGGGTGTCAAAGTGCATTCGCCCATTCACCAATATGTTTGTGACCCCAAACCTCCAAACAACGCTTCAGTGGGCAGCTTTAAAACCCTCACTTTCGGAGGTTCCTTGATCCTTTTTTGGGAGGACACCCAAGTTTGGTTGCCTTTTGGCCAAGGGAGGAATGGATGCTTTGCAGATTCTTTTTGATTTCCCTTGAATCAGGGTTGTGGGATCAAGGGGTTTCTCCCCACTTCTGTGATACAAGGAAATCCCCCTTTCTATTATCAAAATAGTCTTTGGGAAGCCCTTTCTGTTGTATCACAGAAGTGGATACCATTCCCCACAGCCCTGCCTTGAATCCATGGCACGAAGACTTCCTTCCCGCTCGCACCTGTGCGAGCGAGCGTGAGGTAGTGCTGGAGCCCATCGCGGGCATCTCGCGGAAGCATCTCACCATCACCTTTGAGCACGACAAGGGCGGGTGCTTCTTGGACCTCACATTGAGCTGCACAAAAGTACTTTCTTACCCTTTTTTTGGGGAGGGTTCCCCTTCTAACATAGACTACAGCAAAAAGAAACCCCTTTTTTGGGGGGCTTACCTCTTAAAAACACAAAGCTTTTCTCAACTTTTTGGGTAACATGGGCAACTTTGTCTGTAAAAGATGAGAACTTCCCCAGGGCGCAGGGAGTTTTAAGGGGTAAGTACCCTTTTTTTGGTTGGGAGGGTTCGGGACCCTACTAAAGTAGACCAAGCTGAAAAAAGACACGGAACCCTTTTTTCTGACCTCTCAGATCTGGAGGACCTAGTCACATTGAACCGCCCTGGGTACTTGGATGATCGACCAAGCTAGGCTCACTGCCTGAGTTCATGGACTTCCAACTTTTTGGGAAGACCATTTCAGTGGCAAACAGCAAGTTTGGACCTTCGTCGGCATGTCTACTCAGGGAGTGAGCAGTCAGTGGATAGCCACCAATAACAAGGTTAAGCCCGCTTCCGGTGACTTTGAAGTGGGTTATAACTTTGGGTTTCTTGAAACCAACAAATTGAACTGCTCGGAGGCTCAGTTCCGGTCGGATACATCCAAAAGCCACTTGAGCGTTTTGCCGGAAACCCCAGGAAGGTGCCATAGTAGGTGGTACGTAGTACTGCCTGGTTTCAGAAAGGTGATGGAAAGGGCTATACGGGTTGTTGGTCTGTTTTGGGGACACCAAAAGGAAGACCGCCATTTTTGTTGGGGGAGTATCCCAAAAAGACGAGCCGATGCAAATCTTGATATTTCTACCCTTGTTGGTAGAACCAAAAATATTGGGTTTGGGCGCAGCTTGCTTCCGGATTTGGTAAATCAAGCTGGGCTTTGTCTTGCTGGTGCGATAGGTATCACTCCCGCATTCACTCTGAGAGCCAGCAAGTTTGAGGTTGACCGTTTGCAGGCTCAAGGCCATTTGCACGAATCGACCGGATTTGAGATCCTTTGCGGGTTTCGATTTGGGCGTTGTCTTTTGCGAGGGTACCCCATTTGAAGGTGGTTGTGAAGGGAATAGCCCCAAAAGTCCCTAAGGGGCAACTGAGTTATTGAACTACCCTTTAGAGGAAAACCGGTAGGATACATCCAAAAACCCACTTGCTTGGGGATTTGACTCCGAATCAGCTGGTATTTGCGTGATTTGTTCGGCCCCTGTTCAGCCATTTGTAGGCCACCGTCCACACCACCGGCTTTCAGTTTTCTTCTTGGTCTCAGTATAGAGAGCTACTCTAGTGCCAAGCGGTGGAACATCAAGGATTTTGATGGGGTTTGAGTGAATCTGCTAACCAGAAGGTCCCGGAAAGGAAAGTAGCCTTCCAATATCCTCCTGTCAGCTTCCTGATTGTTGGATGGGTTTGAGCAAGTGTTTGCAGCAATGGGGTTTGAGCGTTGCTTCGCCGGATGCCGCCTGAGCAAATGAAATCGTTTTCAACCAGGCCACATGTCGATAGGTATTGTTCTTGGGGCATGTTTTTTTAGCGGTTCCCAGCCATCCCCTTAGCTTTTCAGGGCTAAGTGGGGGTTGCCCGCTAAGTGGGGGGATCTGAGGACAGCCCAGTTTCATATTCTGGGCATTTTTTTTTGTGTTCTGGTTACCTGGACCTTCAAACACCACCCACAAAGAAGGAGTGAATTCACCAACCATGATTTGGGTTGCATACCATTTGTAGGTCGGAAATTTCTGGGTCCAGGTGCCTGGGTACTTTGAGGGTCCGGATAGATGGCTTGCTGCTCTGCATCCGGGTTGCATTTTTTTCTTCTGCCAAGCCTATCCTCTTATGTGGCTGTGGGTTAAAACCCAGGAAACCCCTGGTGAACATCAAAATAGGTGGCAAATGGATGTTCATCCACCCCAAAATGGAGCCATAGTTGGATCAAGTGCTTTGGTTTGTTGGCTGTTTGGTTCCGTGATTGTTCTGTAGGGGGCTTGTCCTGTTGAAGCTAAGCAAAAGTTGCCTCGTTATGCCCCATGGCCATATCTCGCCGCAGCCGTGAGCGAGAATTACTACCGCCAGGAGCTGGAATGAATCATTGCCTGAAGGCCTCGCAACATTTGCTTTTACAAAAGGGTCGGAAAAGGGCGTGAACACATTTGGATCACATGACTCTCAGAAGGTGGTCTTAGCAAGTTCAACCCCTGAGAGTCGTTCGCAAAAAGGAGATCTCGCAGATTGGGATCTGTGGATGGACGGCCATGGGTTGTTGCGGATCTAAGAAGAGGGCTCCAAAGGAGCTTGGGTGGGCGGTCGGGGAGTGGGTTGGGTAGAGGTTGGATGGATGGATGGATGGATGGATGGATGGATGGATGGATGGATGGATGGATGGATGGATGTCTGGCTGGCTAGATGGATGGACGGATGGATGGATGGCTAGGTTTGTAACGTTGACCCAGTTTGACACACCCCTATTGAACAGATGTTTTTTTAAAAAATCCGGGGTCAACATTAGGTGGAAGTGGAAGTCAGGGTGTTCATACTGTGGATGGACGAAATCCTGCACCGCTTTGAAACCACTAGAAACATTTTTGTTTGGTATGTACAAGGGGATCCATCTTTCCAGGGATTCTTAGGTGGTGCAGGATGTCGTCCATCCACAGTAGGTCTCATCAATGATTGAGGCTCACACAATGAATGTTCCGGTCCCTGTATCTCGCCTTTGTGAAGATCACCTTTGCCGGCCACGGAGTTTCCTTGAGTGAACATCGACACAGAGTGGTAAATGGGAATCATTTGGTGAAGACGTGCAGCACAAACGGCCGGGCAAATGCTTCACAAATCCACTTGTATTGCTTGTCACTCCTTTCAGTCTCTCGGTGGTACTAGTCTTTGGACTGTAAACATACTACTGTTTTAGAATTGACCCATTTATGGTGGCAGTTATGAGGTTGCTTTTTGATTCGCATCAAGAACAATCCTTAAAACATAGCCGAATCGTTGATGGCATCACCGGATTCAATTTTCAACGGGACCACAAGTCCATTTGAGGAGAAACCACATGTTGCGCAATTGTCACTATCCTTGGAATCGTTGAATTTTTCCAATCACAAATTTGATGGCAACGTGATTGTAAGACAATTACCAAAGTGTTTGAAATCCTTGTATTGGAGACAAGCTAATTTTGTTTGTAGCTTTGATTTAACACACTTACCATCTTCAATGCAACATTTGGATTTATCCTACAATCATGTTCATGGCAATATTGTTTTAACAAAAGTACAACAATCTTTAAGATGGTACCTGTTGGGCTGTAATAGTTTGTTTGGTGATGTTGCTGTGGCAATGTTGATTTAGCCAACTTGCGACTGATCTCCCTGCGCTTCTCTCGCTTCCTCAGTTCCTGGACCTACTCTTTTGGACAACTTTTTAGTGGCAAACCAAAAGTTCGGCTAGATTTTATTTGGCAAACCACTCGTTCGGAAGTGAACTCGTTCCGGTTACCATGATAAGGGGAACCGCTCCAAGCCGAAAAGTCAAGGCTGGTGTGCTACAGGCCCAAGCGTCCAAGCGCCCGGGGTGATGAGTCAAGGTGCACATATTCTAGGTTTTGCAGCTAGGTGCCCTTTTACCGTTTCTTTTTTAGGAAAGGTCCCTACTAAAATAGACAGAAAAAAGAAACGGTACCAACTTATTCTAACCTTTCTACTGGAAGGACCTAGCTTCCCTCTGAAGGCCACCGTTAGCAGCTCAGGTCCAAAAAACCAGGTTTTTGGAGCGAAAGAGCCCGGGCCACCCGCTTTGAAGTTCCAATTCAAAGACCGGGTTCTGAGCGAAAACCAGCTTGAAACAGTCTATGTGCTTCAAAACATAACAGAACCACTTCGTTCTACTTCGAGAGGAAACCGAAGTCCGTGTTGGAGGTAAGCCGAATAGGCAATAGAAGAACCCCACCGCCCTGTTGGAGCAGCGGTTGTCCTTTTGGTCCTTTTGGAAACTGAAGCGGGTACCAACAGATCGGAGTTTTGCCTTGGTTCCCCATGAAGCCTCAAAAAGTTTACCTTCAAAACATAGGTGTCCTTTTGGGTTGTTTTGGTAGAACAAAGATGGCCCTGGTTGACCAGTTTGCTGCACAGTTTGAAATCCATCAATTTCCCAAACTGGACACCAATCTTCAAAGAATCAATACAGTTTGACAGTTTGCCAGGAAAATCCATCTTTTTTCCTACCTTCAACAAGTCAAATACCCTCCACGTGCATCCAGTGCGACTGTGCCATTTTTCACTTGCGATTCGGACTTTTAGGCTTTTGCCGTTTTGGTGAATGATTCTGAGAACTGCTTGGATGTTCGCCCAGTAAGTGCTCAGCCACTTGGGCTGAACCTCCTAAGGTTAATCCTACTTTGGGTGACTTTTAAGTGGGTTACCTAGGTTGCCGTTACAACTTACTAACTTGGCAACGACCACGCAAGCGCCTTCCGACCTTTTGGTTTTACCTTGGATCCTGTCCCAAGAAAGAAACTCCCCACGCAATCCGTGTAATATATGCCAAGATTTGACCCATTTGGAGGGTAGATGGGGGCGAACACGGCGTAGACGGAGTGTTTGGGATCATGGGACCCTCCATTGGCGCATTAGAGGGGTGGCCTCAGATTCTTAGGACAGACAGGGCCCCAAACTTTGCTTTTTGGACCTCCAACGGTGGCAGCGGGTTGCCCCAGCAATTGATCAACTTTGGGGAGGGTGTCGAGTGATCCCCGGCAGAGGTTCTGATGTGTTCTGTCCCACCTGAATCGCCAAGTTGCGAAAACGCTCTTAAATGCACCCTACTAAACTGGCGATGAACCCCCTTTCAAGAGTGTCCGATCGCTCGCAGTATATCAAGTGTTGTTTCGCAAGGATCCCATTTGATTTGGGTGGCTCGTCTTTTTTCGGAGTTCACTTGTTGTTTTTGTGAAAGGGGGTGGTTGGTTCAAAGGGACACCAAACCCAGTGATTCCATTTACCTGTATACTGGGCAACTAAGGGAACCCCCTTTAAACACCACAAGGACATTTTGTGTTTCCCTGCTATAGTGACAAAATGGATTCCTGGGATCCATTGGGAAACAATAACTTTTATGACATTTGTGGGGGTCCAAGTGGGAGACAAACAAAAACATTCCCTATGCAATTGCGTGTTCAACCGACTTATTAAGTAGGTTGTAACCCTGGTTGTGAGGGGACGATCACCCCAGTTGAACCACAGTTATCTCACCATGGTTGCAACTTACATACCCGAGTCACAATCAAAACCCGGTTAGAGTAAGGTTCGTAAGAGAAACTTTCAACCATCAATGGGTGCGGATATCCGCCGTTTAAATTCTGAACGCATGGTTCTGGGCACCTGGAGTCTCCATGACCCTTTAAACATGGCGTCATTGCCCCAAAATTTAGGGGTTATAACTTATAACCCCTGTACGGGTCATGGAGCCCCAAGACCATTTGAATACCTTTTTGTGTGAATTTTGGGCTCTGCCGTGGGTTTCTCGTTCACGCGCCTCGTCTCTCGCAGGAGCCAAAGCACGTGGAGGTTATCGCCCCAGCGCCGGTTGCGCCGGTTGCGCCGCCGGCGGCGGAGTCGGCGCCGAAGCCGAAGCCGGAGTCGCCCAAGCCGAAGCCAGTGCCGACGCCTCGGGATCCGTCGGTCGGTCGGACGGACGGATGGACTGGAAACCTACGGATGGACGAACTCCATTTCGCACCAAGAAACCCTGGAATGATAGATCCCGTTGCAACTAGCAGCAAAGAATTGGTTTCTCATGGTTTCAAAGCGGTGGGGGATTTCGTCCATCCACAGTATGTCAGGTAAGGAGGGAAGTAACTTGCTGGCGCGATAGGCAGGGAGTGAGAAATGGAATGAACCCTGCAAACCACCCTCCCGGGTTCCTTTAAGGGAATCGCCAGGCTCTTTCCCCCATTCCCGGCTGAAGGTAACCAAGGATCATTATTTGCAACTGGGGGTGGCAACTGGGGTGAGCTGGCTATACTAAGTCAAGCAGGGTGGCGGGTCGAGATTTCCAATCATGGAAGTGGAGAGGAGGCTTCAACAAGAGGAAGGTACCTAGAGTCTCCATGACCCTTTAAAAATGGGGTCAGTGCCCTAAATAATGGGGTCATGGACCTATTTTTAAAGGGTCATGGAGACTCCAGGTATAGTCTTTCCTGAAAGCCATCCTGTCTTTGTTGGAGGCTCGGGTATGAGTTGGCGGTTTTCTTATGACTCGGAGAAGCCATGCGAAGCGAAGCCTCGTTGGAATCGCCTGAAATTCGGAAGCGAGGGGTCATGTGGCTCGGGCAAACGCTCCAATTCGATGCAGGAAAAGGGGGGTTCTGGTGCTACCCTCCTCATTCTTTCCAGGGATCCTTCTTTCTAGAAAACCTCAGGAAACCGTCTTTTACAAGGGGTCCAAAGAGGCGCCCACATGTTTGACGACCCAAAAGTACCCCAAGCGGTTGGTGCGTTTGGGCAGGTACTTGTTCCTTCATGTACTCCCAATTGCTGAAGATGTTTCATTTTTCGTATGTTGGTTTTAAGGGGACTCAAGCAAATGGGGAAAAACAGATGTACGGTTTCCGCTGGTCTGTTTCAACGGTCATTGGCACTGGGTTGTATACTGCCAACATCGTGTGGTCATGGCTCCGAATTTATGTGAGAACCATATTGGACCCCAAGGGCCATGCCCCGAGAATGGGCACATGGATGTATGATTATGACCAGGAAGGACACCAGGGGCAGACAACCATGACATCACAACAAAAACAACCTGAAGCATACTATTGGAGCATTCGAGCATACAACGAAGAACAAACACAACAAGACACGCAAAAGCAAACTACCAGCCGGCAACCCCCCCAACCACTGCTTTTGGGACCCAAATGGATCTGATTTTTGTTGGATGTTGCGAGAAAGCCTCGGATTTTGGCTGCCCCGGGTTGAGAAGAGGGGCGCTCGGACTCGTTTTTGCTTGCCCCAAGCTGAGGCGCTTTGCGCCGGGCTTCAGGCCGGGAATCCGATCCGTGCAAGTGGCCCAAGTTGAACTTTGAGGGTATTGGTTGAACTTTGAGGGTGTTCTCGTTTTTCAGTTGGTTGTTTTGGGGGGAAGCGCCGGGCTTTTCAAAGCGGCGAGTACCGATCTCTTTTGAGATTCATGGGTTGACATGCTGCCGGGTCGTCACCCGAGGGTCCGGCAGGCCTGGCTTTTGGCACCGAAATTCCCCGTTCGTCCCAACGAATCGGTCGGGGTGGTTTTGGGGTGTCAAAGGTTGACCTGAAGGTGGTGATTTTTCTGTTCCATGCGTTTCTTTCTTTGGGGAAGGTTTGGGACACTAAAATAGACTACAGGAAAAAGGGTTCCAACCTCTCTACTGGAGGACCTAGGTTTCTTCATTTTCCCTTTCAACCATTTGAGGGGGCCTAAGTCTGGCCCAGTTCCAGTGTTCAAGGGCCCAACCCTGGCAGGAAAAGCAACCAGGGCCCCCGCTGCGTCGTGTGACATGTTGTTTTCTGAAGGGAGCTGCCAGTCTGAGCTACTTCCTCTAAATTTATATGGATCTACCCATTAGTTTATCAGTTGGGGGTCTCCCGATTTTTGCACATAACCCATATCTGTGGGTGGACGAAATCCTGCACCACCTGAGAAACTTGGAATGATGATTCCCCTGTGAATTCCAACAAACAATGGTTGATCATGGTTCCAAAGTGGTGCAGGATTCGTCCATCCGCAGTATATTTTTCTCAGACCCTCTATTTACCATCCAGTTGAATGAACCCAGAAACACCACGGGGGCGCAAAAACAGAGTCAAGCGCCTCGCTTTCCGCGAGAGTCGAGCCAGGATAGGCCTGGGCGCCCAATTTCCGAACTTCCAGTGCAGAACCACCCATGGCCTCTTGGCGTGGGTGCGTGTGTCGGTTTTAAGGTTGAACCCCTCCAAAATGGGGGGGGGGTCCTTTTGTTTTTTTCATGAAGATCCTCAAAACGGGTACCCTCAAAAACAAAGACAAATCCCAGAGGATGGGTCAACGTTTGATACCATCTGAACTGTTTGTGGCCTTTTTCGTTTTTGATGACGGTAATTAGCAAGGATGTAAATCTAGGGTTGACCGTCGAGCAAGAAGGGAACATGTTGTTTGCAACTGGTCGAAGGCCAAACTTAGGTCCGCTTCCCTGTGAAGCAACTCATTCTTTGGGGCCTGCCCTTTACACCTCGGATTGTCCTCGAAAAAGAACTGTGCGTCGAATCGCCTCGTCGACCATCCTCCGGCCAGTTGGTTTGGATTTGGCTTTTTTAAGGCACCCACCCAAATGGCATCGGTTTTCCTTTTGGTTTCCCTTTAATACACCAACAAAACTGGTACCCTCAAAAAGACAGCCCAGATTCTTCCTTATTTGGGTATGGGTCGAAATTAAACCACCAGGGGACCGCAGGTTTTAGCCGTTGGTTCCATTTACCAGCGTTCCATTTTGGCTACCCATTTTTGACCCACAGCCATTCCTTTCAAATCAAGCGTGCAGGCACCTAGGCTACTGGGAGTGAACATGGGGCGTTTGACGGCGTCGCTCTTTGGTTGGGGGGGGGGGGGTTCCCAGACTAAAGCCACACGTGACGAGAAAAACTCACTCACAAGTTCCTGGACTTGAGTGCTTTTTGGGTGTTGACAATTTTAGTGGTAAGCTTGAAGTTAGTGAGTTCATGTACTCTACTTAATGCTTGAGTTCCGGTTCGGACTTTAGTCACCTCTTTTAGTTTTACCAGCTTAGAAACAAAAAGAATCGGACATTTTTTGGCCAATCCACTCGGGAAGTGGGTAGAGGATGTCACTCTGCCGGACCCAGATGTGCCCCAATTGGACTGCCCCTTGTGGCTCCACATGGGCCGCGCATGAACACCCATTGTACATAACCCGCTCTTTGTGAGCAAGTGGGGGCTTTTCGAACCTTCCATTTGCTTAACAATATGTTTCGTAGTTTCCCATGTGGCTGTGAGTCAAAACCAATGATACCATTTTGGGGTAGGTGCACCACCCATTTTAGTCGATTTTAGTGGGGATTGGGATGTTCACTGGGGGTACGGGCTTTTGACCCATGGCTATGTTGGCTTTAAAGTTTAAAGGGAATCTATCACTACAGGATTTAAGCAAATGGAGGTATTTCAAAACGGGAACGAATCAAAGGGCACCAAACCCCTTTGAACTCGCCTGCAGTATGTGTGCTGTTGCTTTTTGCCAGAAGTGAAAGCACTTGGCCGTGTCTTAAAATCGGGGACCTCCCAAAATGGTTGGTTTCATTTTTGTTTCTCTTTAAAATCAACCACAAGGAGGCTCCCTAAAAAGACGACACGCCCTCTAAATCATGGATGGTTTCTGATTTAGGACAAGTTGTTCAGCGCAAAGTGGGTTGGTTCCTGTTGCTGTTCCAAGCAAAAGCAGCCATTTGGGTGTGTCTTGTTTAAGGGCACCGACAAATGGCGGCTTTCATGTTGCTCTTCCCACCATAAGCATAGGGGTACCCCATTAACAGAAAGAGACACCTTACCTCTTAAAAACACAACTTGTTGACTTTTTGGGTAACATGGGCTATATGTCTGTAAAAGATTAACTTCCCCAGGGCTTGGAGTTTTAAGGGGTAAGACACACTCATTTAACCATGGCTGGCGTCCTTTTTCCGACAACATCCAAGCACTTCAACATGGATGGTTTATATACTTGTCGAAGGCCCAAGCACTCCTAGAAATGGGGTTCTGTCTTTGTTACCTAACCAAAGGACAACTTGCTGATGACATTGGCTTGGCCCCCGGGGAATATGCCCAGCCGCTGTAGAGATAAGTCGACTTAAGGGTGCTTGGGTGTTCAACCAACTTAGTGGGTTCTCACACTGGTTTCTTACTGGGACCAACTAACCGGTTGCCCCAGTTTCCATGGTTCTAGGGTGCCTTCCCCATTCTTTCCAGGAATCCTTCTTTCTAGAAAACCTCCAGAACCCCGGGGAAACAGTCGGCATTTGCAAAAAACATGGTTGAACATAATAGGGAACCAACAACTAGCATGGTTGCAACCTAGCTGATGTTGGTGTTTCGCTCAGCCACCGTGCCCAGGCTGCAACCAACCTGCTGTTGAGTTTTCACGCGCCCCAGAAACCATGGCCGCAACCTACCTGACGCCCAGGTTTTTCACACCCATGTGCCCAGGCAATTTCAGCTTCTACAGCTTTCTGGAGAAGAGCCCAGGCTGGACCATGCTCTTCTCCCATCCCAAGGCGCGAGAGAGAAATCCTCTCAGCCGCGATCGGATTGAGTTGCGCCACATATGGGCGGAGGTTACTCACTTCCCAAGTTCCGTGACTCGGGAACTTGATCGTCACTTTTTATTGGCGTCTTAGTGGCCCGGTTTTTGGGTCACGTTTTTCTTGGGGGTTTGGTTACCGTTTGAGCGTTCACCACAAGGTTTTGGGCCACTCCACTCGTTTGGAAGGTGAGGGAAGCAGTGGGGACTCTACGTTAAGTTGTTTAAGTTTGGAGGTAAAAACAGAGCTTAGATACTTTTCTTCGCTAATCTACTCAGGAAGTGAGGTTTTGATTGGGGTCTCCTCCAAACCATTTTTTTTAAGTTTTGCTCATCAAGTAGGGCAGGAGCCATTTGAAAGGGGCCACATCATGTCTGGCCTGGATTTCCAAGCACCTCGGTGTTTTGTGTCATACAGAAGACGGTCGCGATCTCCGATGGCACCACCGATCAGAAGTTCAACGGAATGATACGATTCGAGGATTCCCCCGACAAATACCGATCAACTTGGTGGCTCTCCTTACCTCTTAAAAGCACAACTTTTCTCAACTTTTTGGGTAACATGGGCTATATGTCTGTAAAAGATGAGAACTTCCCCATGGCTTGGAGTTTTAAGGGATAAGTCTCAGCATCCGGTTCCTTAGCTTTTTAGCTTTTTCGTGTTTAGTGGGTTCCATTTAACCCGCTAAAGGTTAAACTTTTAGCAGGGGATCTGAGGGCAGGCAACAAAGGTGAGCCACAATCCAAAACCGAGTAGATAAAGGTTAGTAAGGGGCAGTCCCAGTCACAAATAGTTGCGGCCGCCTTGCTACCCATTTTAATACCGGGTTTTGATTGTGACTCAGGTGTGAGCCATGGTTTAATTTCGTGGCGCGAACGCCTAAGTCGCGGGCCAGGACTTCACTCCGGTCTGCACCACTGAGATCGGTACCTGCCATGTGCTGCTGCGAGACTTCCAGAAGCGCAAGGCGCGCGAATTTGTTTGGTTGGGTGTTCAAATGATGGTTCGATGCTCTAGGGGTACCTTCCATTTCCATTCTTTCCAGGGATCCGAATCTTTCCAGAAAACCTCCAGAAACCCAGGGAAAACGGCAGGTTTGTGAAAATAATGGGGAATCAAGCCCTGGTTCTGCAGGCGCTGTTCCTCCATTTGGAGAAATGAATATATGGTTTGTTCCCCCCTGTTGGTTTCATTGGTAGTCTATCACCACCTCAATATGTTCTATGTTTTCCAGGGGACTTGTGCAAATGGTGGTTTGTGGATGTGAGGTTGCTGCTTCTTGCATGGTTTTTGGATGTGATGTTCATGCTGGGTGTGTGCCTTCCCTAGAGGTGCCCTGCCCCGAACCATGTGGATGGACGAACTCCATTTCGCACCACCCAAGCCCTGAGATTCTGAGATGATACTGTGGATGGACGAAATCCTGCACCACCTAAAGAAACCCTGGATTGATGATTCCCCTGTAAATGCCAATGAACAATGGCTTCCAATGGCTTCCAATGGTTTCAAAGGGGTGCAGGATTTCGTCCATCCACAGTACGATTCCCCTGCAAAAGCCAACCAAAGATGATGTTTCCCATAGTTTGAAAGCGCTGGGAATCTGGGAATCCACTGGCAATCTGCTCCATGTTTTCCAGCAAAACTTGTGCAAATGGAGGTTTGTGGAGTTGAGGTCGATGCCTTTTGGCGTGCAAATTTCCCGAGTCGTAGCCGCGACTCATACCCCGAGTCGTACGCCCGGCGGCCCGGCGCGCGCGGCTCGAAGAACTTATGAGGTGCAGCTCATCGGCCTGAGCTGCGACTCGGTGGAGCAGCACAAAGCCTGGTACCAGGATCGCGCGCCTTCGCGCGCGATCGCGCGCCTTGCGGCCCCTCAGAATCCAACGCGAGAATGGACCTGGACCCTCAAAATTCCAACTTAAAAATGGGTTTGACCCCCAAAATTATGGGGTGATATCCAATTTTTATGGGTAGTTTGAGCCTCAAACTTTGAGGGTCCAGGGAGTATTGCACCCCAAGAGCCATAGTGTGGAAAAACCCTGCTTTAAGGGTAGTTTGAGGGTCCCGGAATCAAAACATCACCCCGCACTTGTTTATCAATACTTGGGAATGCTGTACTTTGCATGTTTTGAGGGTTGACCCCACCCCGCACTTTAAGCACAAATTGGGGTCGCCGTACTTTGCAGTTTTGAGAGCTGACCCCCAATTCATGGAATTGGGCACAGGCAGGATTTCAAGCCTCAAGTTGAGGATTCTATCAAACCCATCATCTCCACCATGAGGTTGGGGTGGGGATCCGAGATCTCGATTCGCTCCATGTTTTCTTGGGGAAGACGAGAACGGTGTGGTTTGTTTGTTTTTGAGGGCACCTTTCTTGGGTTCCAGTGTCTTACAGGGAAAAAACACAACTTGTAGGGTCCCCGAGTTTCACACGCACCATGCTCAATTTGGCAGGTAGCACGCAAGGACCTAAATACGTAGGGGTCTATGGGGTACTTATAAAGCACGTTTTGGGCATTCCGGGGGTAAACTACTAGTACGCATTGTGCTTCCGTACCACCTAAGATATGTCAATGGAGTTCCTTCATGGACCTGTTGAAGGCTTTGGTGTGGCTGTTTGAGCCTCTGCTACCTTTCTAGCTGAAGGGAAACTCCAATTGGATGAACGTAGACGAATTCAGTTCCAACCCCTGAACCCATGTTGCTTTCGTCATCCCCTCTTGCCCACATCGGCAGGTTTGGTTTGACTCAGAACATTTTCCCATCGGTTTGGTTGAATCCGCTTGGTTTCATTACTTCCTGAGTTCCTGGACCTTAGTTATTTTTTGGATTGAGACCATTCTAGAAGCCAACAAAAAGAAATGTTCATTTTTGTCTGGCCAATGGGGTATCTTGGTACCTCAAACTGGTTGCCTGTGTGAGGTCACAAACTTTCAATGAAGATTCGAAGCGGCCTCCCCAATGGAGGGTCCTTTCTGATGCTTAGGGCATGTCTATTGAGTTGATCATTATTAATTCTATGATTTCTCAGTATCATCATAAACCTGGATTCTCCATGAAACATTGGCAAGTTATTGACATGACCCCTCATTTTGGGTAGATGACCATGTTTAAAGTGTCAGAAGGAGACTCCAGGAATATTTGATATTGATCACGGGTTAAAGATATTTCAGTTGTCCTCTTGGTTTCCCTTTAAGCCAACCTCAAAAGGTGACCACCTCCAAAAGGATCATCGAAACCCATGCGACGCCCTAGACCCAGCATGATGCGTCGGTGAATTCCCTTTTTTCCCATAAGTAGCTCTTTCGGGTCCAGGTACCCTAAACAAAAACATGGGTTTTTGGAGGAGACTCCAGATTTGAGGTGTCAACACCAGGCTTGAGGTGCTTGGTCATGTCCTTTTTAGCTTAGTGTGGTTAAAGATAGGTGGGTTCCACTGGTTTAGGTTTGGGTTTTATGCCATCCATTTGCAAAAAGAAGAGAGAAGAAAAAGGATTTTTTTTCAAAAGGCACACCTATGTGCTTGCTTGGAAGCCATAGGGTCCAGGCATCTTCGGTTTCTCCCACTTTCATATTTCTAGTGGTAGTTTCCATTGAACCCACTAAAGGTTAGTCACTTTCAGGGGGGGATCCTTTGGCCCAAAAAAAATGGGGCACTTGGCAGGTCACTGGCGCGAGAATCCGAGAGGGCTGCCAACTCCATGTCCATGAACCCGACCTCCGGAAGCCCCGGGAAACGGAGCCCTAGAATTGACTCAAGCTGCTCCCAACAGAATCTCCGGTTCTAAACACCATTAAAACACTAGGCAAGAAAGCCATCCGTTTACCTGCCCAGAGGCTCCTATTCCTTTAGAACTATGTCTGACTTTGATCACCCTCAGAAGCAGCTCCAAACTCAGAGGTGTCCCTCTTTTGGAAATAGATGGCCGTGCTTGATGATTGAATCAGGTACGCCAGGAATCAACCAGTAGAATATTCCGCGCTTTGCGGTAGGACGTGCTGTCCGTGAAGAACGTGGAGCTCTATAAGGTGCCTTTCGCGTGCGAACGAGCGAAAGAGAGAGCGTCAGCTGGTGTTTCAGCCCAAAGCTTTCCATGTGCTGAAATGCATAGAATATATATATATATGCTACCCCCCCCTTGAAATACTCAGGTTTTTGGCCAGAACTGAGGTTTTTTGGCCAGACAGGGGGTGACAAATTCTTTGCGACTCTGAAATGAACTGACTGGACGCTCAACTCCATGCAAATTCCAACCAAGCAGAACTTAAGCTCAACGTTGAAGGAGTTGTGTGACCGTCACATTGGCGTGCGCGAAGTGCACTTAAAGTCACATTGGAGTATGCAAAGCTCACGTTGGCAGCTCCAGCTCAAAAAACACAACTGTCCAGTACAAGAATAGTGCGTTTTGGCAGCCTCAACGCGCCAGTAGCAGCTCTACTATTGTGTGTTTCTTATTTTTGTTTGGCAGCGAATTTCAGCAAATCATCAACTTGGGGAAAAGGAACTCATTCCTACTTCATGTCCTTGCGCAATTGCATTTTCATGTTAACTCGAGTGTTGCGCAGAATTCCATGTACATGATAGTTCAGTCTGTTTGAAACATATGTTGCAAAGCAACTATCCCATGTGTGTGTGCGTGTTGCTAGTCTAACTTGGTTCAATCATCGCCAATAACAAGTATTGAAATTCAAGCAAGGGAAGGATATCCAGCTTAAAACGCTTTCGAGTTCAAGCCAAATTCAAGTTTACTCGTTTGGAGTTTCTTGCGCATTTCAAAAATCAACTGGAGAAAGATGGCTATTGTCCTTATCGAACTCCATGTGGTTGAGCCAGCAAGAACTGAGCCAAGCCAATGCCTGGAACGTGCCTTCAATCATAGATCCTATTCTTGGCATAAATGCTGTAAAACGCCGTGTTTTTCTGCATTTGCTCAGATCGCGTTGCCCTGGATCGAAGATCGAGTATACAAGATGCCACAAACATATGTTTAGAACATCCTCAATCCTGGTCCCCTAAAAACTTGACAGTTTGTGCTAGACTCATTAAGGTTTTGCCCCCTGCATTGAAGATTGAAGATCTACTATATTTTCTATAGAGAATCTTCCATCCTGGCCAGCCCTCAAGTCCACAAAAAACCTGCAAAGATGTCAACAACATTTTTTCTTCCTGGCCAAATGCAGGCAGTGCAAGCGCACATCCACAATTTGACTCTGACAAGGTGCACTCCCGGTTTGGCAGCGAAATTCTGCAAATCATCAACTTGGGGAAAAGGAACTCATTGCTACGTCATGTCCTTGCGCAGTTGCATTTTCATGTTAACTCGAGTGTTGTGCAGAATTCCATGTACATGATAGTTCAGTCTGTTTAAAACATATGTTGGAAGGCAACTATCCCATGTGTGTGTGAGTTGCTTGTCTAACTTGGTTCAATCATCGCCAATAACAAGTATTGAAATTCAAGCAAGGGAAGGATATCCAGTTTAAAACGCTTTCGAGTTCAAACCAAACTCAAGTTCACTCGTTTGGAGTTTCTTGTGCATTTCAAAAATCAACTGGAGAAGATGGCTATTGTCCTTATCAAACTCCATGTGGTTTGAACCAAGCAAGAACTGAGCCAAGCCAATGCCTGGAACGTGTTCAATCATAGATCTTATTCTTGGCATAAATGCTGTAAAACGCCGTGTTTTTCTGCATTTGCTCAGATCGCGTTGCCCTGGATCGAAGATCGAGCATACAAGATTCCACAAACATATGTTTAGAACATCCTCAATCCTGGTCCCCTAAAAACTTGACAGTTTGTGCTAGACTCATCAAGGTTTTGCCCCCTGCATTGAAGATTGAAGATCTACTATATTGTCTATAGAGAATCTTCCATCCTGGCCAGCCCTCAAGTCCACAAAAAACCTGTAAAGATGTCAACAACATTTTTCTTCCTGGCCACATGCAGGCAGTGCAAGCGCACATCCGCAATTTGATTCCGACAAGGTGCACTCCCGGTCTGCCTTTTAGATTCTTCAAATCCGCACTTAGGGCAATCCAGGATCTGAAGATTGAAGATTCTCTGACAACTCTTTCTGAAATTATCCAAATATGTACTTAGGGCAATCCAGGATGTGCTAGCACGTGCTAGCACATCCTGGATTGAAGATTGAAGATTGAAGATTCTCAGGCCACTTGTTCTGGAAATCTTCAATCTATCCTTAGGACAAACTGATGTGCTAGCACGTGCTTGCTAGCACATCCTGGATTGAAGATTGAAGATTGAAGAATCCCAGAGAGAGTTGTCAGAGAATCTTCAATCTTCAATCTTCAATCCAGGATGTGCTAGCACATGCTAGCACATATCAGTTTGTCCTAAGGATAGATTGAAGATTGCCAGAACAAGTGGTCTCAGAATCTTCAATCTTCAATCTTCAATCCAGGATGTGCTAGCACGTGCTAGCACATCCTGGATTGACCTAAGTACCGATGCTAGAATTTAAGTCTAAAACGGAGTGCATTTTTGGAGCCTCATTTTTAGAAGCTGGAACGTGTGTTTTGCATGCATTTTTACAGCCAAAATGTCAATTTCTTGCCAAAAACCTGAGTATTCCAGGGGGGGGGTACCATATATATATATATACATATATATATATATACACACACCCTTTTGGGTTTTGAAGGGAGTCGGTTTTATTGCTGGAAATGCTTTCTGACTTTGCCACGGGGCGAAACAGCAAATGGAAGATTTGCCTTTCAGAATATGGGTCAGTCTTTGTTTGGGGTACTCAGTTGCTCCTATTTGGTGGTGAAGGACAACCAGAAGGAAAGCTGCGCCATTTTTTGGGGACCCCTAAACGAAGACACTAAATAGTTTTGTGAATCTGCAGCACACATGTCAATGTCCCGCGTTTGCTTGAATCGGAACCGTTTTCACTGCTGGACATATGGTTTTGTCCAGGGAGCAAATTGAAGCACTGAACTGAAACATCCAACCAGTGGCTCGCCTGTTTTTTCCTTTCGAATTCACCAACTCGCGCGCCGCGCTCTCTCTCAAAACCACCCGCCAAGGGCCGATGTTCGTAGTTGGCTCTCCTACCTGCGTGTTCTTTTGGAATTGTTTTTTTTGTTGGTTAGAAACACGGCCAACATATAAGTCTTTGGGTCAGACCAATATTTGAGTGTTAAATCACCGGTTGCTGGATGGGGCCAATTGGGCTGGAGCCCACGGCATTCCAGGCGCAGCAAGATAGGTAGGTACCCTGCCATTGCACTTGTCTTCCCCAACCGCTGAAGGCGTGGGGGTCGACAGGCCCAGAAAGGCTCCCGTGCGGATATTTTGCCCAGGGGATGTATCCGATGCGAGGGGTGGATTATTTTTTGTCAGTTCGGCATGGGTTGGTTGCGTTGGGAATCACACGAATGACACTTCGGTACAGTATGGAATCCCATGGCGGGGATCGGGTGCAACGGCGGGTAGTTGAGACCCCTCGGTTTCCTTCGGGTTTCATTCTGTGGATGGACGAAATCCATTTCGCACCACCTAAGAGACCCTTGTTTCTGATCATTCCCCTGCAAATACCAGCAATACCGGTTTCCCGTGGTATCAAAGTGGTGCAGGATTTGGTCCATCCGCAGTACGGTTCGATAGCAAGCCTTCGAAAACCCACCCCCCTCTTCCCCCTTGGCGACTCCATAACTGTTTGAGAGGGGTGGGAGGGCCGCTTGGTTACCTACAAAACCAGGGATACTTGTTCAAGGACGAATATGATTCAGCTCATCACCAACATGCTGGTCATAGTTCACTCCAGGAGTTCTCGGACTTGATCCTTTTTTGGGTTTGTACCATTTTAGTGGTTAGCGCAAAGGCCCTGATTTTTTTCTGGCCAATCCACTCGTTCGGAAGTGAGATAACGTGGATGGTTGCGAAATCCATTTCGCCCCACCGTTCAGAAACCCTGGCTTATGATGATTCCCCGGTAAATGCCAGCAAGCGTTATGGTTTCAAGTGGTGGGAAATGGATTTCGCAACCACCCAGACGGGGAAATTGAATCGAAGGATATGGGCTTCCCACTGATCGCTGACGAGACCCGCGAGATTGCGGAGCTGCTGGGGATGCTGGCGCCTTCTCGCAAGCCGGTCTGCCATTTTTGTCGCATAGAGTTGGGTGTCAGATGGGAGTGGCTCAAAGTCAAATTAGCTAGGGCTACGCAGGTGTTACTCTTTGGTTCCATTTACCAAGGTGCCATTTTGGCACATTTTTCTGAGCCACAGCCAGATATCACAATTCCATTGGTGTTGGTTTGCGCATCCCCTTTACTTGCCCAGGAGTTGCGCCATCCCAGTTCCGTCCTGGTTCATGACACCAGCCCTGCGTTGGCATGAGGCGGTTTCATGCGCCTTCGATCCGTTCGAAGCAACTTCGATCCGAACTTGTAGGCTGGGAACTGGTGGGGTGTGTGCAAACCACCGGTAAATTGATCAACCTTAAGGGGAATCCGGTGACTGACTGGGGTAGCTGGTCCTCCCGAAAGGGTTATAACCTAGACGCTGGTTGAACACCAAGCAGGTGTTCCCCCCCAACAAGAACAGGGCGGTTTCAGCTCCTCTTGGCAGGGTTCCCTCTCAACAAGCTTTGGCTCCAAACCTTTCCGTTAAGGTTTGTTGCTCTCCCAGTGATTCCGTTTTCCCGACTTCAGCCAGGTAACCAAGGGAACCACCCTCCACCCCAAAGGGAGCATGTTGTGTTACCACTACTATAGTCGCGAAACGCCTGAACAATTGACAGGCTGAGTTGGCCAACTTGCAGATCTTTGTGCTGCTTTGCCCCAAGATTTCTTCCAGTTCCCTTTCCCAGGGTCGTTGTTAGATGGCTGTGGGTCAAAAATAGGGTAACCCCAAAATATGGAACCCTGGGACCAAGGACTAAAACCTGCGGTCCAATTCCTGGTGGTTAATTTTGACCCATTCCCAGATCTCCCAGTTCCCTCCCACGTGTCCATGAAAAGTGGCAAGGCCCAAGCAGCTCAGCGAACTCAGCAGGTCTTGCTTAGCCAAGGGGGAAGCTTTCATGGGAGTTGGCCGACTTTTTGGGGGCAAGCCCCATGCGCTAGACCCATCTACCTCGAAGCACGGTTGAAACGTGGCGGGCCTTGGATCTTCGTTGCCAAGTTAGTTAGTGCCCAAGTGCCACTTGGTATATCACCCTAACAAGTACCTAGCCTAGGTTACTGGTACGGCTTACTTGCTTGGCGAATCGGACACCCAAGTACGGAGCCCTGTTTTGACCACACTTTCCTTTGAGAGAAGACTCCGCAAATGGGACTGCAAGCCGTACCACCCAGCTAGGTATGTCAGACAGGAACCTGAATGCTGAGCAACCTTGCATCCAACCACGTTTTTTTCTGCTGTCCACCAAGTTCTTGTGGGAACTCCCAGGGAAGCTTCACCAAGTTTCACACCCGTGAAAAAAAGCGCTTCCTTTCCGGGACAGATGTGGTTGGGTCGCACATGAAGTTGGGTCGCCTTGAGAGGGGCGCGACAAAAGATACTCCCACCTGGGCGTCAGAACTGACTCAAAGGTGGTGTTGCTTCTTTGCTTTCCACCTCAGAAAGGGAACCTTCAACAACAACCACCCACATATCCCAACTATGGAAGTATGAGGGAACAGGCATTTTCCAAGTACGGCAAACTAAACCGAGAGTTTGTGGCTGGATGTGGTTGGGAAGCCACTTTCATAGTGTAACGTTCATACCTTAGCTTGGCCTCTGGCCTCATCTGGAGATTTGTACCAACCACAGGCCCAGCCAAGTTGTTGTGAAAGTTGTTGGGGGCAGGGCTCAATTCAAGTCCAGTTCTACTCGTCAAAGGGACGGTGCGTTGAGATTCCCCCAAATTCTATCGATCGGACCCGGGTAGAACAAATAAAGGAATCTAGTACATGATTTCACTTCAAAGCCAACAAAACAAGAAGTAAACACAAGTTCTGAGATGCTTTAGTGGCTTCACTGTTTGGCAAGCTTGTTTGTTTTATTGTTTTTTTTGGCTTCTGTTCATTTCTTTCGCCGGGGGCTGCAAGAAGCATTCGTTTTTTTGCTACGACGCCAAGTTGTTTCAGGACTTCTGCCTGTTGAAGTCACGGACCGAGGACCCTCTGGAGATCTGCGACGACGACAAGCTGTCGATGCCTGCCCGCGCGCTGTTCCTCATAGGCCGCGATCCGCGATCGCCGGATCGATGTGAGGGGTTCTTAAGCGCTGTGGGAGGAGTATACATTCAAAGTAATCAGTTGCGTTGGCTGCAAAAAAAGCTGAAGCCTTGAAATTCGTCAGGATTTGTCCCCCTCGGATGGATTGAAATTCGATCCATGCTGCCCTAATGGTCCCCGGACCCCTCCAATGCCCCACCCTATGGAGAACAGCGACCAATTCCTCAAGGGCCCACAAATTTGGAGGGAATAACAGTCGAATCGGACATTTTAGGGCTGTACCCTCGAAGACCGGTTCTGCTTGGGTTTTTTGGGGCCTTTGTAGTCTATTTTAGTGGGCATTGGGATGGGGATTTTGACCCATGGCCATTTTGGAGCCCCAAATCCATCGATGGGATCCTTAATTCAGGTGTCTCTTCTGGGACTCGTCCCAGCCCAAAGCTTCTGCGCGCTGAGACATCGTAGAGGGACCCCCTGAAAACAAAGGCACCCGAAGGAAGCGTAGAAATGTATATCACTTCCTGAGTTCATGAACTGAGTTTGTTTTAGAACACAGGCAAAAAACAAGTTTGGTTACTTACCTTTTTGGGCCCCTCCACTTGTTCGGAAGTGAGTTTTCCTGAGTAGGGCAAAACAACCTGATCCGTATGTTATGAGAAATGGTGCGCTTGTGAAACGGCGGCCAGAACGATCCCCTTTGGGTTAGTAACGTCTGGCTGTTTTCCGAAGCCTGTGTAAGTTGGCTATCTCAATGTGAAATATTTCAAGTTTGTTACGGCGGTTACATGAGTCCTTTTTTTGAAGAATCATATCCATAGAGGTAGGCTTTTGTTGAGGGCTTGCCTGTTTTGCAGTTGGTTTCACAGGGCTACAGGAACGATTTTGTCGGGGCTGAATGGTAAAGAAATGGGGGCAGAGCCAACCGCGCGATTTCTCCCGCTGGAACGTCCCACACCCTAGGGGTGGGCAAGAATCTCCAGGTCCACCTGGTCCAAAGGGTCCCTAGTTAACATCCATACCCGGATCAATATCAGAATTCGGAGCCTAGCCAGGACAAGTGGGTTCCGTCTTTTGGGAGTTGGCACCTTTCCTTCTGTTGGGTTTTGGTTTCAAGACCAAAGAAGAACCAGGCCACTTTGATTTATTTTGGGGTGTCACTGGATTTCCTTCAAAGGTTGCAATTTACTGGTGGCGTCCCTTGTAGCTCGGAAACCCGCTGCTTCTTTCTCTTTTGTTTTGGGGGGCGGGCTCCCCTTAAAAGGGACATGGCTCGGAAACCCGCTGCTTCACTTTGTTTTTCCTTTTTTTTTCCGGGGGGTTGGCAGCTCCCTTTGAAGGGAAATGGCTTAGAAGCCCACTCCTTTTCTGGCATCATTCATTGAAAAGGGACTCTCAGTGTAAAGTAGTAAAAAGTGTTCGACATGTCAAGTCTTTTGGTGTCCATTTTGTGAAAGCTAACTCGAAGACAATACGCATTAGCCTTGAGTTAAGCTGTTCAATTTAAAGTGGTGTTGGGATGCTGCCCTGCCTAAGCACCTAGACGCATACATGCATACACACTTTGACATACATACGTGCATACATACGTATATACAGACCCACCCACGCATTGACCCATCTACCTACATGCATACCTATCCACCGGTCTACCTACACATAGAATGTGCGCTTGTGTTGTTCGAGGACCCTTGTTGAGGTTGGTTTGAAGGGGTAAATGCAAAAACCACAATATTTGTGGTCCCCCTTGACACACACACACATACCCATGTTTCTCAAAATGGTGGTCCCCCCCGTAGACACTCAAAGGGACGCACAAAAGACACCAATCATTTGTTGGGACCATTATTTCGAGAGCCACCACAAATACATTCTATATATATATATATATATGGTACAGCGTTGCCAGCCCCCCCCCCCCCCACCAATGGTCATGGGTCAGGCAATTACCCCCCCCCCCTGTGGTTGTGGTCCTGTGGTTGGGTTGTGGTGGTTTAGGGTTGGTTTAGAATTGGTTTAGGGTATATTTAGGGTGTGTTTAGGGTTAGTTTAGGGTTGGTTTAGGGTTGGTTTAGGGTTGGTTTATGTTGATTTAGGGTTGGTTTAGGGTTGGTTTAGGTTTACGGTTCAGGGTTTGGTTTTGGGTGTATTTAGGGTTGGTTTAGGGTTAGTTTAGGGTTGGTTTAGGGTTGGCTTAGGTTTAGGGTTTATTGTTTAGGGATTGCTTTAGGGTGTATTTGGGGTTAGTTTAGGGTTGGTTTAGGGTTAGTTTACGGTTGGTTTATGTTGATTTAGGGTTGGTTTAGGTTTAGAGGTCTACGGTTTAGGGTTTGGTTTAGGGGGTATTTAGGGTTCGTTTAGGGTTAGTTTAGGGTTGGTTTATGGTTGGTTGTGGGTTGGCTTGTCCTGGGGGTGGGGGTGCCGGGGTGTCGGGGTGCGAGTTCAGGGGGTCGGGGTGGGGGTGGGACCGTAGGTGACAGGATCCGGGGGCTCGGGGTCTCGGGCCGAGGGGGGGGGGGTCCTGGGGGACCCATACCATATTGGGGGGGGGGGGGGTAGCAACACGGGACACGGGACCATATATATATATATTTGTGTAATTCAATCCCAGCATATAGGGGCACCCTTACTTTGAGAACCTCCATTATATATGCATATAAACCTAGGTCCCCCAGTAGTGCCCTTTTACCCTTTTTTGGGAGAGGGTTCCCCTACTAAAGTAGACTATACAGAAAAAAGGGTACCCTTATTCTAACCTCTCTACTGGAGGACCTAGATACATTAATGTCATAAGTGTCCATCATTGCAGGCCCTGAGAAGCGATGCCGGTACAGCATCCTCTACCCGGCCACCACCGGTCGGAACTTTGCAGAGATTTTGCGGGTCATCGACTCCTTGATCGTGAGCAACATCTCAGAGGCCTTGAATTCGTTTCTTTCGGGGTCACCTTTAGCTGGAGGAAACGTTTTTTTGTTCCTGGAATAAGGTAGTCTAAGAATCACCTAGACCCTCAAAATTCCCGTAAGCATGGGTTCTTGCTGAAAGCTTTGGGGTGAATTCCCTTTCCATTGAGGGTCCATGCAACTGCACGTTCCATTTCCATTCTCTATAGATTTCTATGGGAGTTTGGATACATACCTGACTTCGCGAGTTCCGTTTCGTGAACCATTCTGTGTCAAAATAGAGCTCACTCCCTGAGTCAATTGACTTTGCTCACTTTTGGGGAGTGGACCATTTTTGTCGTACCCAGAGGCTCCCGATGTACTTAGGGCCCTCAAACAGCCAGGTTTTGAGACTAACGGAGGGGTCGGGTCTGAAATGTTGAATCAACCCATGAATGGTGGTTAAGTTTGTTGGACATCAAGTGAAGCCAATTTTTAGCAGGTGCCGCGATTCCTTCCTCAAAACACATCAAGCGCCGCCTGCCTTACGAGGATTTCAGACCCAACGAAATGGAAGCGGACCGCTCTAGGGCGATCGCTTTGCAGGTTGACCCATATGGCTGTGGCGACCCAAAAAACCGGGTAACCCCAACATGGGTTGCCCTAAGTGGAAACACGGACCAAAAGTCTGCGGTCTGCCCCTCCTGTTTGATTTTGAGCCACTACCATATCTCACCCAAAAAAGTAGGCCCAAAGGGATCAATAGACTAAGAAAAAGTTCTAGCTTGGGAAATGCCGGGCAAACTGGGAGTAGAAGACTTGGCCTGGGCCCCTCAAAGGGAACCAAACGGAAGGTGCTTCAACACTGGGTCTTTCAAACATATTCAACTTCCATTTGCGTAAGATTTATGTTTTAGTTTTTTGCTCTGGGTTTTAAAGGGAATTTGTCACTATGTATTTTTTTTTCCAGGGGGTCCAGAGATGGATTGAACTCCAGAATCTTGCTGGCTTGTTTCAATAGCGTCCGTTTGCTTAAGAGTTTTTTCCCCCCTGTTGGCTTTACAGGGAATCTATCGCTACTTTTTTTTTCTCCAGGGGTCTGAATCAAATGGAAGATAGCTGACACCGAAAGGCCAGGGAAAGCCGGAGCTTGAACTCACTCTCCGCTTAGGGAAGCCAACAGGTGACAGTTGGTTTGACCCCGCGATTCAGCTGGCGATGGATTTTAATAATGGGGAAGCACCTGAAAAGTGGTTGCACACGAACTTCAACCGACTTTGGATGTCCGATAAGAGGGTCCAACTACTGACGCCTTACACAAAGAATCTCGGTACCTCAAAATGCTCGACTGTTTGAGGTTAACCTTCCAATGGAAGTCCTGACTCCAATGGAGGGAAAGGCCTAATCTGATGCTTGGGCTAAGAAAAACCAAAGACACGCCCAGCTTTCATCTCTGGAGGCTTGAAACGTGAAAGTTCATTCACTCCATCGGAAGTGAAAGACCATACTGTGGATGGTTGCGAAATCCATGTCGCACCACCCAACAAAGCTTGGGATGATTAGTTTTGCCCCCTGTAGATACCAACAAATAAGGGTGGACCATTGTTTCAAAGTGGTGCAGGATTCCGTCCATCCGCAGTATGGATGGACGAAGTCCATTTCGCACCACCTAAGATACCCAGAAATGACGACTTCCCCTGCAAATACCAGCAACGCGTGGCAACGTGGCGTAGGATTCTGTCCATCCACGGCAGGTGTCCTTAGGTTAGTGTGGCTAGAAATAGATGGGTTCCACTGGTTTTGATTGGTTCTATGCCCCATTTACCTAAACAAAAAACACGTCGCCTATGTGAATGACTCGCCCGTAAAAGCTTTTGGCATGGATCTGCGTGTGCCTTGATCAGGGTACCAGGTTCCGGCTTCAGGAGGGGTGAAACGCACCCACATGGCTGTGGGTCAAGACCGTTTTGGGATCCCATTTTGGGATTGGTGCGCCACCCGTTTTAGTCGGCTTTAGTGGGGATTGGGATGTTCACTGGGGGGCTTTTGACCCACGGCCACATGAGCAATCGCAAAAGAGAAGCCGCCATCTTTCAAGGGCATGTCAAGATACCAATGCAAAAAAAACGCTGGTTCGCCAGCCTATACCCCTTATAATAAGTGATCAGTGGTGAGATGTCTTCAAGAACCTGAAGGCTAACCCAGGTGCGCAGGTCCCAACCGTGTGATTCTGGGTAGATGCCCCTGCCTTACATACCGCAAAAACTCAGATATTTATGCTGGGTACATAAAAGGTATGTAGCCATCTTTTTTTTAGTGGGATATATCAGGGGTGGCTGTGGGGCACGTGGTTTGGCCAGACAGGTGGGCACGCCTGCGAACTGGCACCCGGGGGATGACGTGATGCCGGCCATGCACCTGGCGGAGGCGGAGCACAAGGGCGCCCAGGAGAAGAGCGTCCCCTCGGGGCGCAGCGCCTTGGTCAGAACGAACAGTGAGATAGCCCTGAGTCAGGTGGCGGTTGGGGGGTTGGGGGGGAGGTTGAGGGGTTGGGTGGTTTGGGGTGGAGGCGGGGTGGGTGGTTGAGTGGTTGTGTGGTTTGGGGGGGTTGGGGCTTTGGGAGTCGGGAGGTCAACCTTTCAGGTGATTCTCAGGGAATCGCTTCAAGTTTCCCATCGGTGCAGCCTGTTGGTTTGGATTTGGATTGGACCCCCGGTTGTAGGCAAACCACCGGGCTTTCAGGCACCAAGTAGAGGGAAGCTGAAGTGTGGCGCTTCGCTTTCTGGGTGCGGTTCCTTGTTTTTTGTGGCTCGGTACCTTTTTGGTGTATAAGTTTGGGTTATATGATTTGGAGCCATTTTGGGTTGGGAACCCAGTTGATTAAAACCCCTGGTTGATTTTGATTGGGCGGTGTCCCATTTTAGAAGGAATGTGTATCACTTTTAGGGGGGACGCCCCTATCGATCCACTGGGTTCTGAATACGCGCCGACGCTGCAAACAAAGTTACAAGCATTCTTATCCTATGATCATTCGTCCCTTTTGGTTCACTCACTTCCAGAGTTCCGTTTCGGACTTGAGACTTTTTGGGGTTGAGCCATTTCGGTGGCAAACCAACAGTTTGGTTACTTGGCGTTGGCCAATCAGAGGTGGAAAATCGGACCTTTGGAGGGCTTGGGGCCTGAAACGTATGGCTTGACCAGTTAAAAGTCGGTTTGGTGGACTTTTCTGGCAGTCTAAGGTCGGGTGACCCTTAGGGGTTTGGACTGGTGGTTTGGATTTGGATTTGAGCCGCAGATTCTTGTAGAGAAACCGTTGGTTTCCCCTCAACACCCAAGCAGAGGGCGGTTCTTTTTTGAAAGAGGCACCAAGCCGAGCTAGACGCTGCAGGATACATGCGGCACCTGCCCATGGCAATGCCCGTGGCAAAGCCGGTGAAGCCCTCGCCACATGTCGCCCGGCTCGCGGAGTTGCAATCGCAGTGGTTTGCTTTTGGCCGCACAGATTGACCCAAGAAACTGGGCCAAACCAGAAACTGGCAGGGGGGTTCTGCTGGCAAAGCCAAGCCAAGAATTGAACCTGGGCGGTTTGGGTCAATCAAGAATTGGCACTTGGAGCAATCAAGAATTTGGTTTGAAACTGGGCTTTGCAAACAACCAGGCACGAGAGCAAATGGAATGGCCGGGTGCTTCTGCTGGCAAAGCCGCGGTCCCCCCCCAAAGAAGCAGAACCGCTGCTTTCATCGAAGAGCAAGAACCCGAGAGACTGCCCTCAAGAAGACCGGAAGGAGTTGCAAATCGCTGGTTTTCTTGTGGGCTCTGATTGAAACTGAAGTAGGGGACCCCATACTGTGGAGAAAATCCAGCACCACCTAAGAATCCCTGGTTTCTGATCATTCCGCTGTAAATACCAACAAACAACGGTTTCAACCATGGCTTCAAAGTGGTGCGATCGGATTTCGTCCACAAATGGTTGTGACACACCCACATGATATGGGTGGCTTGACGTGTTTTTTGAGGCTTGGGCACCATCGGGGGTTCCCGAAGCCTTTAGAGACCAACCCAAATGGCGATTTTCCATCAAATGGACCTTGGGAGGGGTACCCTCAAACAAATACACACACACACACACCCTTTTCTTGGAGGGGTACGGGGGGTTGGAGGGTGACGTGAAGGGCAGCTTGGCGAGCGCTTGCTACGCACTACAAGGTGTGACGCAATCAAAACCTGGGCAGAAGGTAGGACGTTGTTGCCAGCGGGTCAGTATCTGGCTTGATTTACCTCCTGGGCACTGGCAATACCAGTTCTTCACGCAAACTGAATGTGTGCCCCAGCGTCAGGGATGGGAACTCAACCTTTTGGTAAAAAGTCTGGTAGGGCTCTTCTGTAGCTCACTGTTTGATTTCCTGGACTTGCTCCTCACTTTTTGGGTTTGATGCGTTTCCGACATCACCTTTTGAAGAAGGGCGGTGGCGTCAGGATGGGTTTTGGCAAAGAGCTGGTTTCACTTTTCGGGTTATTCAATTTACCATTCCCTAACATCCCCTAAAACCCACCAACAGCATTAAGGCCGTCAAGATCCTGGCATAGTCATAGTCCAAATACCTGCGTTTTCCAGGGTACTTTTTGAAGAAATTGGTTTTCCAAGGCAAACACCTCCTTTTTCAGTCAAGGTTTGCCATCATGCCCGACCATACCCTGAAAAAAGCGAATATCGTCAACCAGGCTTTGGGAGGAGAGGTAGGAGAGCTAGGTTTCCATCGCGTCCAATTTTTTTGTCCAGGCGAATCGACCATCCAAGTGCTTCCGCGACGTTTGTCAAGCGACGTTTGCGAGGTGACGCCTGTGACGTCCGACTTCAAGATCCAGTCGGGAACCCCGGCAGTCGAAGCGACGCGAATCCAGCAATTTGCGATTTGCAGGACCTCTCACGGGCAACCAAAGCGAATCGACCTTTCTCACCTGAGTCTCAATCACACCCGAAAGGGACAATTCCAGCCAGAATTAGGTGCGGCCGCCTTTTCATGTTTTTGTATTTTTGCTTTTTTTGTTTGGGTAGACCATTGTAATACCTGTGACTCACCTGTTGGTTTCCCTGATTACGTCCATGTTTAGTCAAGGTGCCAAAAGATGTCACCTGTCGGGTCCATACTTACTCAAGGTTGCAAAGGTCAACCCTTTGTTTCCAGGTCATTTGGGCAAGTGAGTGTTTCTTGTTTGGTTGGAACCATATACGTGTCCTTGTTTGCTAGAAATCAATGGGTTACACCACTGCATTGATCAACCCCTTTTTTGGGGGAGCTCCAGATACTTGTTGGGTGGTTGGGCAGATCTTACTCCAGCCATGTAGATTGCAGTTCATTGCTCCAAGTGACCTTTCAACCCACCCACCCCAAAAAAAGAAGAGGAGAAGGGCAACCCTAAACAGAAAACAATCTGGCCAAAAGCAAACTGGGCAAGATTCGGGCAAGATTCCTGTTGATTCCTCCTGAAACAAACCCCAACCAGGTATCCTTAAAGACGCCCCAATTTGCGCAAATCGGGGCTCATTTTTTTGCGGATGACCAAGTTTCGGACCCCCCTGAAGCGAAAAACGGCTTTGATTTCCTCTTCCCAGTAGTGGATCCACTAACTCGTTTTTGGCGGCTACTTTGTTTGGCAAATCCAGTCAGAAAAGTGAATATATCTTATAAAACCCCAATTGTTTCTGACACACGCCACCCCCAAAGTGTCATTCCTTGTGGTTGTCCTTTAAAGCCATGAACAAAGACTGGTGCTCTCACAAAAAGTCCGACACATCGGCATCTTCCATTTACTCAAGAATATGTTGTTATTCTCCCTTGTTGGTTTTAAATGGAGTTTATCACTACTGGACCTATTTTCCTCCTTTTTCCAGGGGTCTTAACCACATGGAAGGTATCCAGTGACCGCTGGCGCGAGCGAGTGGCCTGAGGCTGGGTGCGGTGTTCCCCGACTTCGACTGGTGCGCCACGAAGCAGGGCATCAACCGCTTCCACAAGCTCTTGGAGCGTCTGAAGGCGAGAATGCCCGCAGCGTCCAGAAAAACTCCTGTTGACTTTTTGCGGGGCTTCGAGGGATATGCATGCTTGACTTTTTGCGGAGCTCCCCGGCCAGGGGCGGTGACCTTTGTTTTTGTTTCGTCGTTTTTTTATTGATTTAGGTTTAGTTTGGATGGGTGAGTGAAATGCGTGAAATGAGAAAGTGTGAGCATTAAGGGCTTCGGCACCCAGCCGTCCGGATCCTTTTTTTAAGGGTTTTAGTTGGTTTAGTCGAGTGGGTGGGTTTCCATTTAAGCCACTCAATGTTGAGCTTTTAGCAAGGGGATCTGCGGACAGCCCAGTTGTGGTTTTGCTTATTAGAAGTCGTGGTGGTAGTGGTGGTAGTGGTCACGGTGATGGGTGGTGAGTGGTGAGGGGGCGGGGTGGGGTGGGGTTGGCGTTGGGGTTGGGGTTGGGTAGGTGGGTGGTGGTGGTGATGGTGGTGGAGTTGTCAGGTTCTATGTGGTTTGGAAACACTTCAAAAAAAAGACAGTAAACAACAGCAACCACACTACTGGTAGGTAAAAAGACAGTTTTTATTAGGACAGGATAGAAATGTAGATCATGGGGGGGTGACCTTATATATATATATACATATATATATATATATATAGGGGTCAACATTCGGTGACATCGACAAGTTGGTGCGATATTCTCAGGCCCTGAATGTCCAAAAACCTATGGCTTCAAAGCCTTGATGTTGATCACAGCCTGCTGGAAATCTTTCCTTGGGCTATGTGGGCGGTCTCCCTAAAGTTATCCGGATTTCCCTTGTGAAGGTACGTAAAGCTGCCTGAAAAATGGGTGATGGCCCCAAAATTAGTAGTGGAGGGCCTTGCCCCGCAAATAAATTGCTTCATACATACCCCCCACCCTACACTTTTTTTCATCTTCCATCTTCTACCCTTATTTGTTTTCATCATTTTTCTACATTCCTTTCTGTCCATCTCATCCGTTTTTTTATCATCATTTTTCCAATTTTTTCGCCATCCTTTTCTCCTTTCTCCTCGCCTCATTCATTTCATCATATACCTCTCAAAATGTCATTTCCTCAATCTCCTCACCTCATCCATTTCAAAAAAATAAATTTTGCAAAATATATTGCAAAAAATATTTGTCATCAAAAAAATATTCGAACTGTCTAAAAACGATTTGTCCATTTCCCGGACAAAAAATAGAACAGCAACAACATCACTCCCTCCTTCGTTTCATCAGTTTCATCATATATTTTTTAGGCGTGGTCGCATAGCTTGCGAGCTTCGCTAACGCTCGCGTGTCCCTTGTAGGATTTTATCTTCAATATATAAAACGCTATACTTACATTATAATTATAACATATAAGGGTATAAATGTTATTATTATAGTATGATTAATAATTATGGGTTACATTTATAGTCAGGAAAAATGTCTTCAAATATGTAATCTACATATTTATCAATATCGCCAATGTCTATATATTTGATATTGTCTTTTCCTATTATTGAATAAATATATTCCCAGAAAAACAAATTAACTAGTAGCCATACTTGATATTTAGTGTTGTAGTAAGACCATACATGATATTTAGTTATTCTAAATTCATTCAAGACCTCGTTTATTTTATCTTTACTTAATAAATGCCAATCAATCGCATCAAACATGCGTCGAAATTTTTTAACAAATGCTTTATATGGTTTAATTGCGTTTGTCCCTCCAAACCTCTTAATTAAATCTTTATTATTAAAGAACTCATTAATTTCTTTTTCAAATGACTTTCTAGCAATTTTATGGTAAAAACATACAGGACATCGTTTTTGATATTTCATAAAGAATTGCAATTGTAATTGAAACTTTGTATATCCCTTATCCTTATGTTCTTCAACAAAAAACTTTTCAAGGTCTCTTGTTATACAGCATTGACTACAATATACATCATATTCACTTATTTTATTACATAGATTGGCGGGTAATAACTTATACAATGTTATATTAACATCATTCCTTTTAGTTTTACAACATTCGCACTTTGAATAATTAAATAACATTTCCACTGTAATATATATAGTGTTGATTTCTTTAAATACTTTTTTACAAGAAATAAAATTACATATTGAAATATAATGATAACATATAAGATTTTACATGTTATTATTATAGTATGATTATAATTTCAGTACAGGATAATAATTTAATTGACAAATCTTTCTTCTTTCATACATCATTTTAAATATAATATTAATATCTATCACCATATTGTTAACATTAAACTGTTCACTTTCAATATATGATTTAATGATTTTTTTTACATCAAACCCTTCTTTTCTTTGATACTCCAACATCCATAATATGTAGTCAATCATTTCATACTTTTTCTTACTGATTTTCATAAATGCTCTAACATAATCATAAGGTGGTATTTTATACACAGTTAAAAATATCAAAATGTCATCTTCAACATTTCTTTCATTAAACCTTTTAATATCCAAATTACATTCGATTGCTTCTTGGTAATATCTCCAATTTCTACAAATTTTACATAAATTTTCTTTACCCAAAGAATAATCAATAATATTATTAACTATTCCATTAGGTAAATTCAATTTATATAATTCCATATTTTCTGTTTTAAAGTGGCAACAATCGTAGCATTTCCTATTGATATAATTATTGATTTCGGTTTCCATCATTTCTATTATAATATATATAGTTTTTATTTCTTTAAATACTTTTTTACAAGAAATAAAATTAAATATTGAAATATAATTATAACATATAATATTTTAGATGTTATTATTATAGTATGATTATAATTTAAGTTCAGGGTAATAAGTTAATTGATGATTATTAAATTGTGTAAATATCTTACGTTTGTCATGCATCAGTTCAAAAATAATATTAATAGTTTTCACGGTATTTTTCACATTAAACTTATTGCTTTCAATATATGATTTAATGTCTTCTTTTAAATCAGACCCCTCTTTTCTACGATGCAACAACATCCATAAAATGTGGTCAATCAGTTCATATCTTTTCTTACTGATTTTGAGAAATGCTCTAACATAACTATAAGGTGGTCTTTGATACACAGTTAGAAATATTATAATGTTGTCTTCAACATTTCTATTATGTCTTCTTTTCAGATTTAAATGACATCTGATTAATTCTTGATTATCTCTCCATTCCTGACAAATTTCACATTCATCTTCTTCACTCAAAGCATAATCGATAATATGATTAACTATTCCATTAGGTAAATTCAATTTATACAATTCCATGTTTTCTTTTTTTAAGTGGCAACAATCATAGCATTTTTTATTGATATAATTATTGATTACGGTTTCCATCATTTCTATTATAATATATATAGTTTTTATTTCTTTAAATACTTTTTTCCAAGAAATAAATTTATACCTTTAATAACTCATGTCTCAAAAATGCCCTGTCATAATTTTCAATATAATAATATTCCTGTCCTAACTTCTTTTCAATCTTTGCTATTTTGTAGGTTTGTTTAGTCCATACTCCTACTCTCTCCTTTTCGTTTGGTCTCCTTTTCCTGAATATCTTAACTTCATTTCCTACATTTAAATCTGGATAAACTCTATTTCTTTTGGCTTTCATACCTAAGTTTAAACTCACTTCTAATTGATGTTTAGGCTTTCTTGCTTCTGACGGTGTTAAGCCGTGCGAAGTGTGCTTTATTCCATTGTTATAAGTTAATATAATCTCGTGTATGTAGTCTGTCCATTGAATAGCCTTTCCTTTTTTCTCATCGTTTTCAACCCTCTTATACAAGCTATCTTTAAACGTCCTTATCGCCCTCTCCGCGAATGCTGGGTGACCTCTGGTTCTATGTAATTCTATTTTTTCATCTTTCAAGAAATCTATAACACTTTGATTATTATAAGCTCCTTCATCGTCAATATAAATTAGTTTGGGCTTTCCACCCATTTTTTTAATACATTCCATCAGTCCTGCTAAAATGTCCGCTGGCTGTTTTGACATAAGCGGGACAACAACCATATACTTAGAAAATATGTCAATACACATCATGCCAACTTTCATTTTTTGTTTAGGGATATCATTAATGAAAAATAAATCAATTTGAAACTCATAATATGCGTTAGGAGCTACAAATGAATTCTGTCCTCTTGGCTTGGCTTTCTGTTCTACATTCTTCCTAAAAAAACTCATTAATATCGTTTATAGTAATTGATTTATCTGTTTGTCTTGCTTCTTGTAAAGTGCGGTTCTTTGACCCGAAGCCTCCTTTATCATAATAAACATTATTAATAATATCTTGCTTAGATGCCATATAAAATAAGATAGATATTATTTTTCCCGGCGATTACAGTTTAAACAGTAAGATATACAGTTTTCCTTATGATGGGCATAATCGTTGTTTATTCTTTGGGCTGTCATATTGCTATTTATTACTCCATTATTTATTTCTATGTCAAAATCTGAACTGCATTTATTACATCTGGTATTAAGCCTGTCAAATAACCATTTGACATCAATATATTGTTTGTTGTCTATCTCTCTCTCTGCTTTCATGTCTTGTAATTTATATTGTTTAATCTTATGTTCTAAATATCTGGTTACTTGTGCTTCATTTAAATCAGTATCATCTACGTCTGCTTTGAAAAACTTGACTTTATTGATATCTCTGCATCTCGTGAGGGCTGTCCAAATCCACTCACGGCTGACCAAATGCGATTTGTCCCATTCGTGTATAGTAATGCTTTTATCTAGAGAAGCCCCTTGAGACGAATGACATGTAGCACAATAAGCATGTATAAAGTGCTTGTCTAAAGTCGTGGTGTTTGTCATGAATATAGTTTTACTTTTGATATCTTGGATTTCTACTTTCCAATCATCAATACTAATAATTTCATAAGTAATATTTACATTAAACACCTGCCCCATTTCCTTTTTATAAACTCTGCATATCACATGCTCTCCAATTTCATATTTATCTGTCTTTCCTAAATTATTTCTTACGGTTTTGCTTACCCATTTGCACCTAGCATTAGTATAGGCTATGTTATGCTCTCCTTCCATGATGTCGCTTGTAGTTTCAAAATGTTTATTTACTATTTCCTT